GCTTAAAACTCTTTAATAAATTAAGTAATCAATCATATATTATGTTTATATTTATTTATAATAAAATAAACCTAAAACATTTTATAAAATTTTTGGCATTATCTGTAATGGTCTTTGAAATTTTATTTTGAATGCAATAATCCTTAGCTATATCTTGTCAATTTTTTCCTATTTTATCATATGTATGACTACCAGTCATTCTTTTACAAGCCAACGCTATATTATTTCTTTCCAAACTTATTGGATTTATATAGTGAGCGGTTACTCCTATGAACTAAAAATTAAAATTTCTTAAAATTTGAAATAATTTATTCTTAATTAATTATTATACAAATTTAAATGTTAGCTATAGGCACTCCAACAATCTGCTGTTGTGCATATTAATGATGGTTCTATAAAACTTTTAATTATTTCTTTCTTTTCATTTTCCCATCTTTGGGAAATTCTACCAACAACTGTCTGTCGGCAAATTATATTTTTGTGTGGAGCCAAAGTGTTGATCATTTTTTTAAAAGAAGGATTTTCAACAATTGAAAATGGCTGCATGCCATCTATAATAAAAGCAATAATTAAATCATCTAAAGTGCCTTGAGTTAAAGTCAAAGGTCTTTTAGCAAAAATATTATTGGAGGATGAGTCTTGTCCAATATTTTATTTGGTAGTTTTATTTTCCTTCCCCTTTTTTATTTTTGTTAACAAGGTTGGATGTTTTCTCTTAAAATTTAAATTAGAATTTTAAATATATAATATCTATACACTTATGTGTTTCACGATATTGCACGTTGAAGTCATACTGACGGATATTTTTGTATTTTTAGGTAGACATGGCAAACATTTTACCATCAGAGAATTGTTTTCTTTGTTTTGAGATATTATTTTAAAATATGCTCTATAAATTGGCCATGGTAAAGAACTTGTTGTTGCTTCCTCTTCTTCATCGATATAGATCTAAATAAATATATAAACTTAAAAATTTAGTTATAAAATAAAATTTACCATTTCCATATTGTAATATTAAAATTTGTATGGTTTATTGATAAACTCGGACATAATATTTAAATTAATGAATATTTATATATATTTTTTATATATAAGTTTTAATATTTTATGTATATATAAGTTTTAATATTTTATGTATATATAAGTTTTAATATTTTATGTATATATAAGTTTTAATATTTTATGTATATATAATTCTTTATTATAGTATTAATAAATATTAATATATAATATATATTTATTTATTTCATAAGCTCATATGAAATAAAATAAATTTTACAGTCAAATATTTTTATTTATAAAAAAAAGGGGTATATAAAATGTATCTTAAAAAGTATTTAAAAACAGATACAGATACCTCTAAAAAATATCTAGATACAGATACCTTTCTAAAAAATCTAGATACAGATACTACATTTTTATATCTAGATACTTTAACAACTCTGGAATGCTGACATGCAATTTATTGATAATCTCGAATCTGCTATATTTACCATTATATGGTTAGCTATATCTTTGTATTTTTGGCGAAACAACCTTAATTTTGTTGAAATAGCGTAGGACTTATTAGATGCATCTGTTAGAATTGCATATGTATGCTCACCTTTCAAATCGTCAAGAATTGAACTCCTGGATTTAGGTCCTAAAACATTGATGATAGCCTTGCTCATTTTTGTTCTACAAGTATAGTTTTCATTTATATTAGAGTAGTTAAATATTATGGGAAAAAGATTCTACCAACATTGTGATGATAATTTCTGTGAATGTTGTACTACAAGATAAGTGATTAAAATTGCCGCAACTGTAGTTGCATCTGTATTATTTCTTATTTTTGGAGTACCTAATGATAAGTGATAATTAAGCGCCTATCCCTATAATGTTATACACACACACGGTAGATTTACAAGCGGTCGTTTTGCGTGACATTCACATAAAAAATATTTAATTGTAAAAATAAAATCGTTTTTTTTAAAAATAAAATTATGTCTATTTTAAAAAGATCGTTAGCTTTTTTTTATAAATTAATATACAGTGTTGTGATGATTTAATAAAACAATAGCATCGCTAGGGGGGGGGGCGCAGGGGCTTGAGCCCCCTGAAAAATTTGAATAGCCCCCTGAATCAAAAAATATTTTTTAATGGCTCCTTAATATCCCCTTGAACTAAAAATAAATTTTTTTGACTGTCCACTGAATGATTTCTTCTATAATTCCATAAAGTAATATATAAATATAATTTTATTATTTAGAAATTAATAAGACTTAAATTTTTATTAAATGAATATTATTTTAATTATTAGATTAAATTACTACATATAAATTATCTTTTCACTATGTCAGCTTACAATCAAATTCTGTATTAAAAATATAATATCAATAACTAACTAAATATTAATTTAGCAGTTTAATTGACTTTTATTATTTAAATTATTATTTAACCCTAATTAAATAAATATAATCATATATTATTTGAAAATTAACAAATTTAATATTGTAATTAGCCGAGTTCAAAATGACTAATCAACTGTATATTTATTTTGAAATTTTATTATCACACCTTAAAAATATTTTCAAGGTCCAAATAAGTATAAGAGATTTCTTTATAAAAAGTAAGTAGACATATAGTTTATAATCCTCTACTATATACACTTGTTTATAAAATATCAGATATAATGCTACTTTTATAGACGTATTTGTCAGTTATATAATATATTACAGTTAATATTATAATAAATTTTACTAATAAATGGTTTTGATAACAAATATAATAACAAATTGCATTCAAGTATTTAACGCCATCTATTTAGTTATATTTAAAATTAAACATTTTATTATTCATCCTGCAATAGATGTAATAAATTTGATATCTTTTCTTCTCTTTTTTTACGTGTTTTTAGGAAAGCTATTTTTTTCATTTTCGAAAAACAGTCATGAGTTAAATTTTTAATACAAGAATATTTTTGATATTATTACAAACTACTATTATTTTAAATTATAATATACCAAGGTTGTGCGACAATATATAAAATCTTAATTGTTTTATCATATCATTCTGGTCCTTATTTTATAGTTACAAAATGTTTCATTTCTAATATGGCATTGCCGTGTAAATAACTCCAAGCTTCAATATATTTGCATAATTATTTCTTCCAAAGATTTTTAGTGTTTTTATTTTATCAATTTATCCAACATAATAAATTCTGAGATTAGTTTACATCGTGAGTGTCATGGCTATTACTGCAAATTAACCAGCATCTATTATTTGTGTTGCTATGTAATTTAAGATTATTACTATAACGGCTGAGAGCATATAATAGCATATTTTAGATAAACAATAATGGTCAACTGTGTAGTCGTTTATATATCATTTAAAATGGAAGATAATCTTTTAGAAATTTAATATCTCACAATAATTTTCTCGATTACTTATCTAGCTTCCATAATGTCATCTAAGAGGAAGCTCTAACCACCATATAGTTTTATGATTTGGATTGGTCGTTTATATTCTCTCCTACAAAAATTGTTGATTTGGTTTAGGCCTATACATTTTTCCTTATTAGTCCATTCTATAAAACATTGTCTAAAATAGTTACAGAGATTTATACTAGTTTGATAACCTTTTGTCAATATAAGTTGCTAAGAATTATATTATTGCATTATGTGATTTTTTATATACCAGTTTATTTTGTATGCATCATATAATAAGTGACAAAATTTGAAAATCAGAAGAATTTTCAGAGTTAACAAATTTTAAAAAAGTATAATATATATATATAAAACCTGGCCGAAGGCCGGTTAAAAGCGGCGCGAAGACCCGCAAATTGTGGGGTATGGGGACGAAGCCCCCATATATATTTTTTAGTTGAGCCCCCTGAGAGTGTGAAGGCTATTGACACCCCTGTAATGAAACATATTGACGATTTAATTTAAAGACATGCATATATAATTATAATCTTTACAAATGTACAACAAAAAAAATAATAAAAGAAATTTCAATAATGCTTTGTCTATATTTTAATTATTTTTGCAAATATTATCATTTTATATGAATGGGTTTAAATTTAATCGTCAATATGTTTCATTAAATCATCACAACACTGTATTTTAATAAATCAAGATGTTATTTTATTTTGAAAAATAGTTACCGACTTTGTATTTATATAAACTAATTATAAAAAATAATAGGCGGATAATTAAGTCAATTCAAAATTCCGGAAGGCCGGCACTTTTATTTTTAGCACTTTTTATATTTCTACCGCAATTTTCATATTTCTTCCGCATAATACCAAATTTCTCCCGTATAATACCAAATTTTTCCCGCAATTTGAAAATTTTGACCAGGCAACCCTGGTCTTGAATAATTTAACTTTATTAAATAATTTATTTTATTTTTATTTTTCAAACAAGAACACACGGAAAAAATTTTTTTTAATTTTACAAAATTTTTTCCCAAAATATATATATAAAAACTGACTCAATATGAGTCACAATCCAAAAAACAAATCAATACACTAAGGTTAACAAATCGGATTATTGCGTGTGATAAAAATACACATAATTAATTTACAAAAAAAATTAAAAAAAAAACTTACTAATTGAATATTTCAATTTAAAACCTACATAATAAAAAACGTTAATTAGAATGATATATATATATTATATGACAAATGGCATAAAATATTTATTAAATATAACTAAATAATATTTTATATTATTAAATAAATTAATGTATCGGACATTTTAACAGTGTTATAACTATATATTGATTATTTTACAAATATTAATTATTAATTTCTTTTAATATTGTATCAAATTTTTTATATATTAATTTTAATATAGTGAAACGAAATTAAAATATTATATTAAATTATTTTAAGATATAATACAAAAATTCAATATAAAATCTATAAGTATTATTTTATTTTTATAATTTTCGATAAAATTACATTTGATCAAATTGAAAAATATGGTTAATTAATAAAAATCGCAGTTTTTATCGTGAGATTTTATGTGAATTTTAACCCAACCATCAACTTTAACCACGTTATAATAAAAATGCTAAGCTGTACAATATTGCAATGATTCCTCAGGCTCTATATAGAGAATATTTCGAAGTTCCTATTATATCTAGAACTTATACAACTGCTTGTTTTCTTACAACTTTAGCTGTGGTAAATATTTATATAATTTTTTTCATCTATTCAAATTCTTAGCATTTAGATCTCATTACACCTTTTCAGTTGTATTTTAACCCTGCACTTATTTTTAAAGAATTTGAGGTAGATGCTATTTTGGCAGCTTGATACAATTATATTATTTTTAGATATGGCGGTTAATTACAAATTTTTTATTTTTTGGGATATTTGGGTTTAATTTCTTATTCAACATCATATTCACATACCGATATTGTCGTATGTTGGAGGAAGGATCTTTTAGGGGGAGAACTGGTGATTTTGTTATTATGTTTTTATTTGGAGGAGCCCTTATGACAGTAAATAGCTCAATATAGTTTATTCTATAATTAATATATTTTTTATATTTAAAAAAAGACTATAGCTTTGTTTATTAATATATTGTTTTTGGGGCAAGCTTTTACCATAATGCTAGTTTATATATGGAGTCGTAGAAATCCTTATATAAGAATGAATTTTTTTGGACTGCTAACATTTCAAGCTCCTTACTTACCTTGGGTTATTTTAGCCTTTTCACTTCTACTTGGAAATTCTATTTTGATAGATCTTGTTGGTAAAGACAAAATTTTTATCAAGATGATACATAAACATTTTAAAATGATAATTAACACTAAAAATTATAAATACATATTTTTAAAAATTAGAAAAAAATAAAAAAAATATATATTGATAGAGTGATTATTTATTTTGAGAATTAATTTACATATATAGGTATATCAGTGGGCCATATATATTATTTCCTAGAAGACATATTTCCTAACCAAACTAATGGTTTCAAAATACTCAAAACACCTAAATTTATGTAAGTATTTTCTTAAATTACAGAGAAATTATAATAGGATAAAATAATCTAAGATAATATTTTGGAGCAATGATATTATATATATATTTTTTACTAAAAATTATTTATCATAACACTAGGCTTGCCAAGTTCAAGATTATTAATCAAAATCTAAATCAATGCAATTTTTCTTTAAAATTTTTTTCTGAAACTAATTTCCTAGACAAAATTATGGTTGGGTTAATTAAATAGTTTGAGATATTTGCTAGGATTTTTTTATATTTAAAAATTACTTTACAATTAGGATTATTGCTACAAGTACATATAGATTAAGGATATTTGTAACAATATATTTACAGCACTGGCATATATAATGAAATACATTTACACACCACACAATAAATAAATGCCCTCTAAGCAGGGTTACCAGGTCAAAATTTTCAAATTGTAAGTAAAATTGTCAAAAAGATTGAAAATTATGGAAATTTTTTTGTAATTATTACTTTATCATATTTAACAAAGGCAGTATCCTTTTATTATATAAATAATAGTTTAAATATATTCCTCCTTGTAGTGGATTTGCTTTATTTATTATAAAAAAGTAAATCCTTTCATCTTCTTAATAGTGCACACAAATTGAGCATTACCAAGGATCCAAACCGAACCATTAAACTTCTTAAAACCAGTATTTTTTATCGAATCTAAACTGCTAAAAAAATTTCTAGCCAAACCTGAGCCGAACCACTAAAATGCTTGAACTGGTTCGAGCCTCATAATTTTATGCTTATAAATTAATGTAAGTTATTACTAGTATATTGCAAAAATTTCATATTTATTCGAATTGTTTTAAAATGTATTATTAATTACATTTGATTGATAAGTGTCAGTCATGATTTTTTTACAACATTTTTTAAATATTTTAACCTTATAAATTATAATAGAGAAAAATTAAATCCAATATATAAATTATTTGCATATAATATTATAAATGACACATCAAATCTGATCATACTGGCAATGCCAACTACCCAAGTTAGTGTAAAGATTCAACAATTAAATTTATATTATCTCCTTATAGATGTAATTTGAGTGAGACAAATTTTGAAAATATATTAATGCAACTAATAAAAAAAATTTAAGTAATTGTTCATATTAAAATTAATCATTGATATTTATTTTTTATATTTATAAATTAAATATTATTTTACAATGTGCAATTAATAAAAATGAAGGTTTATGTATGTGTTTTTATCTTAATTATGAAATTAAAAAAAAATTTTTTTTATACATAATTCTAGTAGGTTGGAATACAAAATTGTTCACCGGGTTTTAGAGGTTTGAACCAAACCAAGATTTTTTTTTTGCAAACCGAGCCTTAACCTTGAACCGTTATTTTTATTCGAATCTGAGTCGAACCGATATTCGTTTCGGGTTGGATTCGTGAGTTACTAATTCTGCATTACAAATGCATTGGCGTTAGAATGCAAGTAGGGTTGCCTTTTTCAATATTATTTTATTTATCATTTTGTAGTAGTATATAAAATGTTAAAAAAATTAACTTATTTATATCTCAATATAAAAAGTTAGACGATAATGTAATTTTCAAAGACAAATACCTTTTTAAGGCTTAGTTAAAATTTTAAATAGACTATATTAATTAAAAGGCAGCGTCATTTTAAACAAGGGATGCGTAGTTGCTGCTAAGCACAAACATTCAAATTGTGCACATTATAATGGGACCAAATTTTATAAAGTAAGATTATTAGGGTTGGCAAATAAAAATCAATTTAATTTAAATCAAGATTTAAATATAATTTTTTAAAAAAAATTAGTGATTTAAAATTAATATTTTTAATAAAATGCAATTTACTAAATTTCATAATACTTAATATAAGGAAAGACAAAGATTTAGTTTATTTTAAAATTAATAATTTTTTTATTAAAAATACTAAATTGTTGTTAGTAATCATTACTTATTAGATAAAAAAAATACTTGATTTATTTTGTATTTTATTGGTTTAATTTTTCACATTATTAATTATATAATACTAATCTCAATGTAGTGAGGAATTATTTAATAAAAAATAATGTAAATTCAGGGCAGACAAGGGCTGATTTAGTGAAATATCTCTGAACCCAGTTTGGGTTCAGGGTTTGCAATCCAGAAAAATAGACTTATTAATTTAGTAAAGATATATATTCATTTTACTATATTTAGCATTTCCCATAAAAATAATTTTATCATTATAATTGGAATAATGTAATAAATTGTTATTTATTATATGTTTATAAAAAAGAATGGAACATTCTAATTTAATTAAATGTGCTGTGATAATTTTAAAATCATGGTAATTTTCTAAATTTTTCTCAATAGGAATCCAGTTTTCGGATAAAAAACGTAAGCCCTACTTGAATGTCAATATAAAGATATATTTTTAACATTTTTTTGGCAATGAGAATATTGAGTTGATGGCATTCTTGTTATCCTGATTCGATTGAAACTTTATCTTTTAAGGAAATTAAGTCAATATGTTTTAAAATTATTTAAACCGACACATATTTTGCTTCTAGATTTGATTTCGCTAGACTAGGGAACAACTGAAATCATAACTGAATTTGCATATAAAATTAGAACAATTGGCAAGCGTTGTCAATATCTTAATGATATTGACGAGAGCTTACGTGATCAGTTTATGGTTGGCATAGAAATGTCGGGATTGGAAAGAGATCTTAGGGCTCTATTTCCCGACGGTCTTGATATAGATAATAATGTGTTGACTTTCCAATTTATTCTTGATCTGGCAATAGCTTCTGAGCGAGCAAACAAAGAAATGGCAAAATATGCCGATTGTCAATAAGATGAATGATAATAATTATTATAAACATACATTTAAAACGAATACGTTTGACAAAGGCTATAATAAAGCCAAGTATAATAATACATTTGATAAAGTAAGTAATAAAGACAAATATAATAATACCTTTGATAAATATTATAATAAACTTAAATGTTATAAATGTGAGTTTATTCATAACCGAGAAGTGAGAAGTCAATGCAGCATGTAACATATGTAAAAGAATTGGTCATTTTGCAGTTTGTTGTAAATCAAAGAATTTAAATTATATAAGATGGTCATCAAGTGATTCTATTCATAATATATGGAAGATTCAACACAATCGAGAGAATCGAGCAATACTAACTTCAAAGATAAATAGACTAGATGTTGAATTTGATTTTGACACTGGTGCACAGCGTATTGATTGGAATTGATATATGGACAAGTATTGGACGACCAAAAATTAGGTCAACCAATCCATTCACTGCACATGGTGATCATCCTTTAGACGTTAAGGGGTCATTCCATGTCAAATCAATCAATTTTCGGCCGACCCCTTTCGATTTCGATAAAAAACTGTAGACTGGTTATATATGTTCACATTAGATGACAAACAAAATTTTAGCGCATTAGCAACTATGTTATTGAGATAATCGGGGTTAAAGGTCTAAAAAACGTCTTTTTTTGCTTTTTACTGATGTTAAATAACTAGTTTTTAATTTAAAACTAAATATGATCAAATATTGAATCTAATATCAATAGCTAAGTTAATAATTGATAATTATGGCGAAAACATTAAAATTAATTTTTTTTTAAAATATAGGTCATCTCATGATCAGTTGAAAATTTGAAATTAATATTTCGAAATGATTAAATTTTTTTAAGAAATATTCGTTTATAATTTTTAAATAATATCTTCAACAATTAGCGTGGCTGGATATTTATTTTTAAAATTATTGCAAATTTATACTTTTAAGAAAATAGATGGCGCTATATATAATAGTTTTAATATGTAATTTATTTTTTTTATTGATTAAAAATATTTTAATGTATATATATCATACTAAATCGATTACAATGTGCATTATATATATTTATTTGTAATTCATATCATGAAATTTTTAAAATCTTCACAAATTTTGCCTAATTAAGATAGTTTATAAATTAATTATATCTTACTTCATCTAAAGGAATACAAAGCCTGGCTAGATTGTGAGATTTCTTTAGGAGATAATATATATGTTCGACCGATGGAAGTAGAAGGATTGATCAGCGAGAGAATATGAGATTTGGGCAACACGAAAATATCATCTTTCAGAGGAAATTTAAATAAGGCTGAAGGTCCACAAGGGTATAAAAATCGGATTTTTTTACTTCTTCATTTGTATTATTTTTATTGATTATAAATCCTAATTACCATTTATCATCATATACACATGTTAAATATCCATTAATATTTTTAAATATATCTCATTTAAAAACGAAACTTATTTTATATTATATTTTTTGGAATTTGAATATATTTTGGTTTTTAGTCTATTTTGATCAATGGGAATAACCCCGTGAATTTTTTGGGTCCCATGTATGGGCAGTGCAGAATTAAATCTTTTACGATGGGCTAATTCCCCTTCGATATATTTTTGATTGGATACATATTCAAATTGAATTCCATTAATATTTTCTTTAGCATAATTATATAATTCTAATGGGGTTAGGATTTGATTTTTATTTGACCTTTGAAGACTAGCTCTGGCAACTAATCTTTTGACAGTTCCACCGATACCGTCACATGCATTTTTGCCGTGAGCAGTGGCAAAGAAATGCCATTCGGCAGGAATATTAAAATCGTATTTATGGAGGCATATGTTCAGAAAATTTTTGCGATTCTTGTATTGAGACACGGAACCATCTGAAAAATATATTATTTTTTCTGGTTTAGAATTAAATTTGGCTGTTAAGAAATTAATAAAATTTTTTTGTTATAGGTGGACTGTACTAGTATTATGGTTTAATGATTCGGATATAATAACAAAATTTATATTTTTTAAATCTTCTTCAGATTTATAATAAGCTACAAATGGATGTATAGTAGTGGCCTGCACGTTGTTCCAATGAAATCCCTTTGTAAAATTAAGGAATAATTTTCAGAATAATCTAGAATTGTTAAAAATTCTCCATCTTTTA